TGCATAATGAAGCTATTTTCAAGGTCCCCATGACTTCGTTGTCAAGATTTTACTGTAATATCGTACAAAATGACGCGTGCATCAACACAATATTCAAGCGACATCTAGGTAAACCTAAAATAAAATTCCAGAACGACGACCTTGGGCATTCAAGCAAAAAATGTTTTTTTTTTCTGAATCTCGCATGGTTTCCGCCTAAAAATTTGATGGAAGCAAATGCGCTCGCTCCTGAGCAGTTGCACTTGGCAGACTAAAGTTGCTACGTAAAAAGCGATTTACAAAAAAAGGCAACTCACCTTGAACAACATTGTAAACCCCATCTGGAAGACCAGCTTCTTTCAACAATTCACCAAGCGACACAGCTGTCATAGGAGTGAATTCGGAAGGTTTGAAGACCATGGAATTACCAGCAGCGAGAGCCGGTGCCACTTTCGAAGAGCAATTCTGAATCGGAAAATTCCATGCTCCGATTCCTAGAATACAGTACAAAAAGCGACATAATTCCAATGTCCTCTCTATGTCTGAATCCTGCATTAAAAACCTCCATAAATCAAAGACTTTCCACCCCCTAATCAGATTTTCCGAAGGAATGTTTTTTCTTATTTAATTGACACAGGGAAGAGAAAAGCAACAAAAAAATGTCCCTATATGTGTGAAAGACTAATTGGGCAAATAAACCCCTGCCTCAAAGTTCAGCATCCTACCAACCCTATTTAAACACAATTTAAGGCCTATAATATCACCAATAACAATTTCCTGTAATTCTCAATTCTTCTCGCGAAAAAAATACTTGTTTCCCTACCTCAAATTCTCCCTAACTCGATTTTTCTGTCGGTCCCTTGAATTTCGACTGTAAAAAAACACTAAAATAATTCCTTAAAGAAAGATCGAGGAAAATTAACTGAACCGAAGTCTTCACTCACCTCCGACAACTCCAAAAGGTTCACGCTTCACGAGCCCGAAATTTCCGCCCGGAAGCTGCACATGGCCGCCTCTAAGAGCCGCCGCAACACAGCCAAAATATTCAAACGCATCTGCGCAAGACTTCACGTCAACTCTAGCTTCCCAGATCGGTTTTCCCGAGTCCCTCACCTTAAAAAAGAAATACATTTTTTTTAAATCTCAATTTGAAAGTTGAAAAATGAGAACCTCACCTCCAACCTTGCCAACTTCTCCAAATCCCGCTCGAGCAACCTACTCACACCAAACAGCACTTTCGCGCGTTCACGAGGCCCGCGAGTCCTCCAAACTTCAAATCCATTCACTGCAGACTCCACAGCCCAGTTCACTGTTTCCGGACCACTGGAAGCCACTTCCGCGAGCAATTCCCCAGTAGAAGGTTCAGTGACCCCATTGAAACCCACAGGATCCCGCGGAAAACAAGGCGAACCCGCAATGAAGTTGAATGGACCTTTGATTTCCCCACCAGAGAACCTTCTCAGGGAAATCCTCGTCGCCAGCATTTCGTCAGGCAAACGAAATGATGCCCAAAACAATAATTACTCTAGCACTACTCACTACGAGAGAAAAGGAGTTAAAACTTAAACAACACACTAGCATTCAACTACCGTGTTTCCCCAACAAAAAAAAATCCATCAAGAATTCAAGTTTCGATTTGACGCAACATTATGCTATGTCTTGAGAAAACACGACAGAAGAAGAGGATCCATTGATCATAGCAACAAACAGGTGCATTCCCAAGCGACAGCTACACAAAATGCATCCACATCTATCACAAAATTTCACAAACCCTACAGGATTTCTTTCGAAGCTCCACAAAAATCTACAGAACACTTCCACGGCGCAACACGAGCTAGAATTTCGAACATACCGATGAGTGAAACGTCTTCATCCAACTCGAGAAGCCATTTACTTTCCCTAAACCTCGACAAAATTCCAGCATTAAATGCAAAATATACTCCACGACTTCTGCGTTTTCAAGGATAAAGCGAGACTGAAAATCCGAGGAGCGAATCCACAAGTGACTGAAATTCTGAACATCTTTCTGAACACTCGAAACGAAACCAATCAAAACAAATCAACATGTTTACCTGCCTTAATGAAACGAAAGGCGAACGTGAAAGAAGGTGGTCGTGTAACAAAGTAAGAGCCCTAATTTACAACGCATCTCACTTCTTTTCACAGGCGCTATTTCCAAAAACACGCGCGAGGAAACAGCAGTTATCCCCTTTTCAAAGTTTTCACACACCACAGAATTTCAGTTCCAAATATTTTGCAAGAATCAAATTCCACACAAATATCGTTGTCTTCTGTAGTTCCATTTTTTCCCTCCCTTTGTATGTACTAAATGTGATGTCCCTTGAATTTTTTATCAGGACACGAACCACCTCCTTTTACGTCGAATTTCAAGGCCAGGATTTTTCGAATGCCCGACGTCAACTACAACGCATCGGGCGTCTTACTAAAGGCCGTAGTGAGACTTCACGTTGGTGAGCAGGGAATCGCAGGTCTTCTTCGCGTCGCCAAACAACATCTGAGTATTGGGTTTGTAGAACAACGGGTTGTCCACTGCAGCGTACCCAACTGCCAACGATCGCTTCATCACGATCACCTTCAATCACAAAATGAGATCATCAATTTAGGCGAATATAAGCACCTACTTATTTTCTAGGCGTTCTGACTTTCCTTAGACCTACGAGGTTCGTTTCAATTTTAAACTACCGATTGCAGTTAAACCAAAATTTCCGTTGAAGAAAAATGGAAGAAAGATCATTTATATTCTCAACAAAAAAAATACCCGGCACAAAAATTTTTCTCTTCTGCAGCTGACCAACAGTAAAAAAAAAAAAAACTTACCTGTTCGGCCATCCAAACTCGCAACACGGGCATTCCGGCAATGATGGAATTAGGGTCGTCCTCGGCAGCCGAGTTCACAGTGTCATTAGCTCCAATGACGAGAACAAGATCCGTCTCCTTGAAGTCATCATTGATCTCTTCCATTTCCATGACCATGTCGTACGGAACACCGGCTTCCGCCAGCAATACGTTCAACTGTCCCGGCATTCGTCCAGCCACTGGATGGATCCCAAATCTCACGTTCTTGCCCTTCTTCTTCAAAATTTCAACCATCTCTGCGATCGGGTACTGCGCCTTGGCAACGCACAGACCGTAACCTAAAATATTATTAAAAACAGTCCCAGTCACTCAGTTCGACACTCAAAAAATTAAAATTTGATACAATGCATCATCTAATGGAATAAAATCGACTCTTCGCGTGGAAAATCCTGCAAGCGCCCAGAGGTGTATTTTGGAGTGCAAAATTTTGTATTAAGGGACAGGCAAGCAAGGAAATGAGTCGTGAATATGTTTAAAATGCTTCGAGACTTTCTGGAATCGAGAAAACTTAGAAAAATCGCTTGTAACAATTAGAAAATGAAACCAAGATACCCAATCAAACATTGTTAGCTACAGTTGAAAATGCTCGTGCTCTACATAAAAAATATAAAAAAACAAGAAGCTGAAGAACTCGCGATGACTCGGACAAAGAATGACGATTAGATCAATTAATGAAATGGATCATGAATTCATCACTGCAGTCAAGTTCTTGACTAAGGAAAATTAAAAAATGACGACAGAGAGTGCGTATGTTTTGCAGGATACTAACGCTAATATCACCGTTCTCCCGAAGGGTAAGTACCAACCGAAAAAAATCCGAATTCACTAACAAGAAAGTTTCCTTTTTCACTCTTCATGGAAAAATGTTCTCTGAAGATCAAAAAATAAATAAAATCTTACCAGGAGTGATAATGATGTTCTTCGCATTAACAATGGCATCAGCTGCTCCATCAGCCTTGACTTCGATAGCAGTTCCAGTCACTTTCATGGCCTCTCCACCACCAGTTGAGCTCGTGCCATAGCCTCCAAGAATGACATTCGGAAGAGAACGATTCATGGCCTAGACGGAGAATAAAAAAAACCCGTCTCAAAACCATGCCTTTTTCTACGTCAACCCTCAAATAGCACTTTCAACCCTCAAATAGGTTTTTTTTTTTTTACCTTGCACATGATGTAGGATAGAATAGCTCCAGAAGAACCGATCATCGCTCCAACAATCGTCATCAAATTGTTGTTCAACATGAAGCCTTCCGCACACAATGCCCAGCCTGAATAACTGTTCAACACCGTGATCACGACTGGCATGTCCGCTCCTGGAAATAATTTATCCACATTTATTCATTTACCTGAATTAGACGCTGTAAGATGAAATAAAGAATCTAAGATGAACCTTGAAATAAAAAGGTCTAAAATGCGCATCAAAGTGTCAATACCCTCAAAATGTGTCTTGACAAAGGGATTTTAAAACTGCAAGAAAAAATATCTATTTAAAAATAATTCACAAAAATTCCACGAGACGGCACAGGAGACATGGAACAAATCAATTTGTTTCCTCTCGACTACAGGTAAAATCTCTCTACAAAGATTTTGTCTGCAAAAATTGTCTCTGTATTGCATAACAAATTTTATTTTTGGTCCGTCAAGTTTCTCTACGACAAAATCCTCTCTACAACGAAATTTTTCAAAAAAATGCATACAGCACGAACATTCTTTCCCTCTTCATTTTGGAAAAAAAAAAAAATGACGCGTGTAGTGCTTGGGTGGATACGGTCAAGTACTGTACCTCCAATCGCCATAGTTAGCGTGACGCCCATGATCGTAGACAACGCAGTCGTGGCTCCCAACATGGACAGGCCGACATTCATCGACGGATCCATGAAGTACCAAATCATGGCTCCAATATTCCCGGCCATCAGTCCCATATTCAACGCGTGTCTCCCAGGCAACAACAGCGACGCCGAATTCAAAATCCCCTGCAGCTTTCCGTAGGCAATCAGAGAACCACTGAACGTGACTCCGCCAATATAGGTGCCCAGAAACAGCGCAGTTTTCACTACATTGGCTGCCGGGTCCGTGGCGAAGGTGTGGTGATGGTCAATGAAGGTGGCGAGGCAAGTGAGCACAGCAGCGGCGCCGACGAGACTGTGGAAAGCCGCCACGAGCTGCGGAAGGTCCGTGATTTCGATCCGCTTGGCAATTGTGGTGCCAAGGCCGCCACCAGCCAAGGCGGCCAGTCCCATCTGCACCAGGACTTCTTGAGACGGGGCCATGAGTCTAAAAAAAAAAGTCACGAGGTTAAAACATCACACACGAGGTTTCGGAAATACGAAAGACTTTTCAAGAATTTTGCCAGTCACAAGCGAACTGTCGACAGACGCTATAATTTGTTCATTCTCCATGAATCCAAGACTGCGATCAAGTCGACCAAACTAGAAGTAAACGATGATGGAAAATTGAGAAAAGTGGAAATACTGTATTGTAATTTTTTAGATTTCATTTTTTCAGTCCCCAGGAACGCGGACATTTTTGAAATTGACTAGACACATCGGGTAGGTCAGAAAATTGGACAGAATTTCAAATCGCAATATTTTGAAACCGATCAACGAAAAAAATCCGATACTAAAAAGCAAATTCAATTATATTTCTTACTTCTCTTATTAGTTCCATATGTTATCAAAAATATCTTGCTTTAAATCATCACTCATCAGTTCTTAAATCTTCTGAAACTCAGTGGAAGCATAAAATCCATTAGATCATTAGAAAGACCCCGGGCTAACAAACTAACCGAGTGACTTTTCCACTAAAATCCGTTCGTGTAATTTCATTTTATTCTTGTTTCTCTTCATCAATGAAGTCTCAAAAGTTATAAAATTCTACATTACCCAGAAATTCAGGAAAATTGAAAAGAATACATATGAAGCTAATGTATATTTAATCGTGGGCTTCCCTCAATTACTACTGCCGACATCGAGTAGATCAACCAATGAAAATAGTAAAACTAGTAAAATATTTTAATATATAAAAATAAACATAGTTGTACACGGCAGATTACTAAAACAACATATGCGGTGAATTTTACTACAAAATAAGACTCGCACATGAAAATATACTCCAATTACAAACGCTGACTTTCAAAAATAATCCAAGATTTTATAAATCCGTAATATATAAGTTTTATAAAGAAAAGGATGGACTCACCCAAGGGTCGCAACAATGCCTCCAGTCACACCCATGATGCCCAACGCATTCCCCAACCTGGCAGTCTTTTGTGACGACAACCCACCCAGGGCTCCGACGCAACACAAAGACGCCGCCAGATACGCCATCTGATGAGCCTCGGGATACCCATTAGCAGCGGCCCAAACATACGTGCCCAAAAACGTCGACGCCGGGATTCCATACAAATAATTGTACTCCGGAGGGTCCGTGGGACGCTTAAACATGTCCAACATGCGTTGCGTCACGATGAATCCACCGAAGATGTTGATGGTGGAGATGAAGGCGGCTGTGGCGGCCAGGGTTTGGACAGTGTTGGTCGGGTAGTAGCCGCCACCCATGAGCAACATGCCACCGACGGCCGTGATGCCCGAAATGGCGTTCGTGACGGACATGAGAGGCGAATGGAGGGCTGGAGTGACGCCCCAGACAGTGTGGTAACCAACTATGCCAGCCAGTCCAAACGTGGTCATCATGGTGGTAAATGCTGGGTTGGGTGAAGCGATTCCTAGTCCCATCATGCCTCCCAAACCTAAAAACAGATAAGGAAATCTCAGAATTTGTATCACCATCACAATCCTTTAAATAATTGAAGATGATTAATTGCTGTAATCTTACAAGGGTTGTCCCAATGCCACGCGTCTGTCAAAATTTTACAAATTTTTAGAAGTTATAAATAATTAGTGCAACAAAATCCTCGTGATGCTCCATGCATTCGCTATTTCTTCGGACTTTGCTTTTAAAAAATCAAGGGTTCCCACTCATTTCTTAGCATACTGAAAATTTTGAAATTGTTTTGTGTAGAACAGTGGTCCGCAAACTGGTGCCTGTCTGCAAAAGGGTTTTTTTCTGGTTCGCCAGGAATTTTCTTCAACATGATTAATCTATCAAAAGTACAAATTAAGTACAACTTAATTTTTGCAACAAAATTTCGAACATTTTAAAAGTTCATTTCCAACAACGTCACAATTTCCAAAGATGCGCAATAGTAGGACAACCCCCATTTATTTCTCATTCAACAGAATAAGAACAAAAGTCTGTGTCTACTTCTCAATAAATTCACCACGAAAAAATTCCGAGTTCCTTCCCGGGACACGCAGAAAAGAAAATGCGACCGAGACTCACCACCAGCGTACATCATGGCGTCTTTCATGGTCAAATTGAAGTAATTTGGCGGCGGCGGCGGAACAACGGCGGCCTTTGCGCCTCCAGCCGGCAACCTCGCAGCTTCTGTCTTCGGAGGAGGTGGGGCAGGCCACAACAGCTTTCCGTCCTGCAACACAATGGCTCCACGCACGACCTCGTCTTCAAGATTAATGTGGTAATGATCCTTTTCTCCGATCGACAGCAAGAATTTGGAAATGTTGTTGGCGTACAGAGTGGAGCTCTGCGTGGGCAATCGACTCGGGAGATCCGTGAGTCCCACGTGGACAACGTCGTGGTAAGTGTACACTTCTCCGGGACGAGTGGTTTCGATGTTGCCTCCAGCTTCTGCTGCCAAGTCGACTACCACTGATCCCGGTTTCATCATTTCAATGTGTTCCTTGGAAGAGGATAAGGTAACCCATGACAATTAGGTTCAACTTCGATAACTCGAGCCTGCCGAATTTTTCTCAAGCCCCATTCTGAATTGCCCCGGAAACAACTTGATGCTTCCCTTTTTGAACCTCCATATTTCGAATTTTATGGCGGCCATTTGGCTATCATTTTATTGATATAGGACAGAGAAAAGCAATAAAAAAGTAACTTGACACGCTTTGAAAGAAAGTGACATATGAATCGGGGAAATGAACCATTGTCTCAAAGTAAAGCATCTTTTCAACTCATTTAAGCAGCAATTTGAGGTCCAGAAGAGCACAAATTACAATTTCCCGTAATTCTTCTTTCTTTCCCCCCACGAAAGTGCTGGTTTCTCAAACTACAAACCTCCCTCATCGAAGTTTTTTGCTGGTCCCTTGACTCAAAGAGGTTTGATTGTACAACTTCCCGATTTTTATATGATCTTTTAAATACCAACCTTCTTGATGAGTACAGGAGCCCTTTTCCCAGGAATCAATGCAGTAGTGATTATGATGTCTACATCTTTCGCCTGCTTTGCGAAAAGAGCCATTTCGGCTTCGTAGAATTCCTTGCTCATTTCCTTTGCGTAACCTCCAGTGCCTTCGCCAGATTCCTTCAAAAAACACAAACTTAAAATTAACTCAATTAGAAAAAAGGAAACGATTCTCACATGAACATATCAATTAAAAGTGGAAACTGCTTCAGAAGCTTCGTAGATTTCCGTATAATCAAACTTTAAAAAAAGAAAACAATATATCTTCTCGCTTCCGTCAGGTGCACCCATATCAATACACCCTTAGACATCGTAAATAATTAGTAATGAAACTGGAATCAGATTCCTACTGCATTCGAATTTCCGAAACTTAAAAATTATAACGAAGTGGAGGCGAAAATTAGGAAATGACCTCCTTGTGTAAGTTTCACGAAAAATTGTGCATCGGGACACATCAACCAACCAAATATCAAGCTTTCGAGCCTACAGTGCAGCCTTGTGTCTGTAGAATTTGACACACTTTCACAAACAAAGTGACATTGTATTGGAAATCTACGTACCTCAATATCAACCGTGAGAAATTCAGCGCCAAACGTTTCAACCTGCTCTTTCACGGCAGCCCGGGTATCAAAAGCACGAACAATGGCTCCCATATTGCGAGCCTGTCCAATGGCCGCTAAACCTGCAACACCTCCTCCAATCACAAGAACCTTTGCTGGAGGAACTTTTCCGGCAGCAGTGATTTGGCCAGCGAAGAATCTTCCGAAATGGTTCGAGGCTTCAACCACAGCACGGTAACCGGCGATGTTCGCCATGGAGGATAGGGCATCGAATACTTGAGCGCGGGAAATGCGCGGAACACAATCCATACCTTACAAAAGAGGACAATTTTTATTAGCAGAATTGCTCCAAGGGTCGCAGTCCAAATATAAATCCTACTCACCAAAGGCGGTTAAATTCCTACTCGCCAGCTTGTCGATGAGATCTTTATTTTGTGCGGGATACAGGAACGAAATGAGGTTGGAGTGCTCTCGGAAAAGTCCAACCTCGTCAGGAACTGGTTGGCGAACCTTCAGCACGATGTCTGCAAATGATTTTTTCAATCGATAAATGTGTCAACGAAATCAAAAAGAAATATTACCTGAGAGATAAGCAGATGTTCTATCCCCAATCTTCGCACCGGCAGCCGCGTAATCATCGTCACGAAATTTCGCGGCAACTCCGGCACCATTCTCCAAGTTGACAGTAAATCCTTTCTTAATAAATGCTGCTGTGACCGCGGGTGTCACAGAGACCCGTTTCTCATTCTGCCAGACTTCCTTTGGTACACCAATACTGAGCTTGTTGTACGGAGTACCCTTCGGCGCGGGTTCCGCAGGTTTGGCTGCGGGCTTAGCTTCTGACCGTAAACGGGCATCAGTACGGAAATTTCGGGCAAAGAGCTGAGTAGATTTGAAAAACTGTGGCGACGCGTCCGCAGCGGGAAAAACGACGCGAAGGATCCCGCAAGCCATGCTTTCAAAGCGGTGAGGATCAACGGAGGATTGACACGGTGGGAGAAACCCGCGGAAGCTCGAAATCCCCTGCCTCCAAACCCTGAGAACGGGTACACCTATAGTGAGAATTTCGAAAATGCATTTAAAAGAGAATTTTGTGAACATCTATGGAGACACAACGCGCGGAATTTTGCGGATGAATGCACTACAAAAACTCGGTTTTCCAAGTGCACTTTCGGCGCCAGTCCGCCAGAAATCGGCAGCAGGTTTCAGAACATTCACAAGTCTTGGCACATGCAAATATCACTTGACGAATCTTTGCAACAGATTCAGAAGTTCTCTGAACACGACACACAAAAAAAATTATTGAAATTAAATGCTGGGGGCAGTTCAAAAAGGACTTCGCATATCTGGCGCTCGACGCCGTGGTCCAGGTGCAATACTATATTACGTGGCTAATTTTTGGGTGGATTTCACTTTCGCGCTTCAGCCTTCAACTTTCATGCAACACAAGGGGTAAATAAGTTTTGAATACTGTAACAAGAAGCTACGTATTGACGTCAGCCAGGCTTCGGACACGCAACAAGAATATGAGCACTCTTTCGGGATGACGCGATAGGCTTGGCGGAATGCCATGCACATATCCCGACTCCCAAGCAGGAATGTTGTGTAATTACACGCTAACACTTAGAACGAAGTACGCGAAGAATATTCGCGGAGAATCACAGCTCACTGTTCGTTCCTGCAATGAGATGAATCGCGGTTCTACAGGATCAAAGAGTTATCAGATGACACCGAAGTGCGCCGCACACGCTTCCGCCTGCATAGGATAAAGTTTCATAAATCGCACCCTAGAGCGGTTCAACGCTCACATATTATCCAAGACGCTTTATGATCTTTTACGCACGGCGCCAAGAAGACAAGCCCTTCTGTCACTCGATACTAGTCCTTCTCTTTTCACCATGTTCGATTAAAACATCAAGCACATCTATTCATAGACTGGCACCCTAATTCACACGTGCTGCGCGAGGCGTAAAAAGCGAATGCGAGTGACCCGAGAATGGTGAGGCCCCCGAGAATGTGGGTTCACTTCATATGTCTCACCTATTTATAGCGTCCCACAGACGTCATAGAGTTTTCAACAACGTTCCTCTCTGTCGGAGAAATTGAACACTAGCGATTTGGAATGGGCTTCCGTTTTGAAAACTGGGCAAATAAACACAGAACCTCAAGCAAGGGCGTGTAAAATTGGTGTTATATCCATGTTTTCAAGAATTTTAAACTTATCGCAAAATGACATGTCATTGGGACTCAGCAAAAGTCTCATCTAAAAAAAATTTTTAGTTTAGAGCTCCAATTACTTGGCTAAGAGCGGGTAAATTTTAAAATATGATCAATCAAAGCACATCACCGTCTTTGAGAAATATTCAAAAATTATGAAAGCCAAAAGCCTTTAAAGTTATTTTATCCCTGACACAGCACTATAAAATTCGTACTCAAAAATCTCAAAGTGACATGCATTCCATAAATAAGTGTACAGAAGGAGCAAAGAATTTCAAATTGAAATTGCGGGATGTAATCAAGCTGTTTTATTTAATTTAAAATGTCATTGCATCAACATTTGGACACAGTGCCAACAGCAGAATCCGTGGGGCGTAAGGGTTTACTTACTTGAGCCATTCAGTAAATTGATAGGAATACTTCTTTGGTCATCCTGCGGAAACCTTGAGAGCACTTTTATACCAACAAGAATTTGCTACTTGCGAAATGATTTGGCAACCTCCATAGGCTTATCAAGACCGAGGTACACTTCGATAGTTCCCCAGATAATGACCTTGTATAATCTCAAGAGCTCAGGCCACAATCCTGAAAGGCTGATATCTCAGTCAGATGAACATGGGTTTACACAAAACTCCCACACTCAATCCAGAATATCACTTGAAAATTGAAATTCCTCATGACCAACATCAACTCAACTTCGGTTTCATGTATGCTATCAGCTTTGATAACCAGTACTATATTCGGTTGAAAGGCCACACAAGTCCCTTTGAATTGTTAGCTTAAAATCTGGAAAGAAATTATTTTGGAAAATGATGATAGAAGATCTTTAAGAAAAATATTTAAGATAAATAACCGTTTGGTCTAGACAAAATGCTCTATACAGGGTGGCCCAGAGGCAGACCAATACTCAGATCACATACAAATAAAAAAAACTAGATTAGGACTCATTTGAAAGTAAATGTCAATCGTTTCTCATTCCCTGTATATGTTGCAATTAATGGCCAGTCTTGCTTAAAAGCAAGGAAAAAAATCATCATTTTTTGAATAAATGCCAAGGGCTTCTATCAAAGCATGTACAGTATTTATTTTTAATTAATGAAGTTTTAGTCTGTCAATCATATAGGTTGGCTGGTACCCGCGGTAGCCATTATTCTGGGTACCAACCCCTGTATAGAAACGCCCCTTCTTTTCATCAGCAATAACACATTTCATATCCGATAAATATAGAGTGCATTCCTTTTTTTCCAACAGTCTCATTCCCAACTCCCCAAAATCGAGCATCCTTTCCTCGTAGAACAGCAAAAAACGATACATAGACTTGCAGTTGAAATGTTCTTTCCCCATGAACTCAAAAAAAAAACGCCACGCCAAATGTGGAATCATACGCTCATCGCAATTGAGAGTTAGCAGTGAACAGCAGAAAGCTGAATTGAACGCTGAGCATCGCCGTCGTTTCTAATAATCAGAACTGTTCGACGAAATCACAGTGGAACCCCAGTAATAATCTGTACCATCGACGACCACGATCTAGAATTCCAGAACGTCGGTCGACTTTCTAGTAAGTTGAACTCGCCCATTTAAGAAAATGGAGCAAGGCTCAAGATTTTCGCGTAGACAAATCCGCCTGAAACTTCGGCTGTTATTTCAAGTACTGTACAGTACCCCTTTATCTGTTCCCGCTTATCTGGAAAGACCAATGACTCAAAATTTCAATCCAATATCACTAGAAACGAGAAAAAAAAACGTCAAAATGCACGATTGTTAAGCCTTAATCCTTCTAAAGATTATTCAAACAACCAGCTTGGAATGAGAGTTCCTGTACTTGTTGGTCAAGTTAAAAATCGACAACAGACCGTCGCGCGGATAAATCCGATGTTACCCGGGGTTCCACAGTAAACTCCATTTCATGATCATCTCCGCGGGAGCTCCCGTAGAAAAACCTGTCCACCTCAGAAAAAACGCGAAACATTCTAGAACGTACACAGCTAAGACTTTTAGAATCCAAAGCAGCGAGCTCACAAGAAACAACTCCGAAAAACAACATAACACCACAGCTAAAAAGTCACAAACTCAGTTTCCCCTCTGTTGCCCGCCGGCCATTTGCGAAGTGGCAATCCTCAGCCCACTCGCGTCTTTCCCGATCTCGCTCACACCGCACACAGCACAGAGCTTCCCGCCATGTTTCGGCAAATACACAGCGCCGCAAAATGGACACTTTTCCTCGGGCTTCCCGCGATAAATCGGCACGTGGTCATAGCCGCACACAGAAAACGGATTGTGTTCGTCGTATTCCAAGCGTTCTTCGTCCACGGGGGTCTTCTCGCAAGCAGCCAGGAATTTGCGGGCTTGCTGGGCAATCTCGGGCTTCGGACCCAGTTCCAAAAGACGTCTGGCGAAACCGCCGGCGGTACGGAAACACTTCAGTTTGAATGACACCGACAAGGCTGTGCGAAGAGTGAGGATCAAATGGGCGGGCTGGAGCTGAACGTGCGTGAAGTAGGCCGCCATTTCGCAAACTCGGCGCTGGTCTTCAATGCTGGTCTTGGGGTGATCCTAAAAGTATAGAAAATGCTTTGTGATCATCAATTCATCTTCACACTTATACACTTGACATTATTCATACTGTAAAACAGTCTGAATACAGTAAACTAAAGGGTTCCACTTTCCATAGTGTACAGCTGAATCTCGATAACTTGAACCCCTACAGAAATTACTGCACTTGTAAAAATGGGTTCTTATATCTTTAATTCCTTTGTTCGGGGGATGTGAAAACTGACCTTTCGAGCAATTTCCATTTGCAAGCCATTGACATATTCCCTGCAAATCACAAGCATTTGCTGGGCTTCGGCAAGCTCTTGCCTGGAATCCACCACCAGCAATGGAATGGCCAACATCAGTGCCCTGAATTTGGTCAGAGCTTCCCCGAACTTTCCAGCAGTCGTCAATTGGTAACACGCTTGGAGCCTCTTCACCAGATCATTCAACTTGACTCTACATTCACAAAGAACAGAAGTGACAATTGAAAAATAATAATTTCCTCACGGAAAATCAGTAAGGATAAATTTTCAAGAAATACCCATCTTAATCTTGATCGTGGACTGGCCGTTGCCATTAGAACCTCACTTTTGGAAATGACTGACGTAAAACAACAAATACCCTGTACTTTAATTATTGAAGTATCAAGAGAACTTTTCATTCAAAAATTGAGTGCGCATCAACCCGGTACTGCACGAAGTTTTCATTTTAAAATATTGTACATCTACTTTTTTCAGAGTTAGTTGTTGTATAAACCTCATGAGCCCACATGAAAAGAAGAAATCGCAAATGAAAAGCAATTAAACGCTTATTTGACACTGAATTCGCACATTTTACTTTCATAACTACCAGATCATTGCATTTTCGGCCACTGTAAACTGGGATGGGCTTCATAATTAGAACTAGCGTTCTCTTTTTTTTAATGTACAAAATCGCGTAAAAAAGGTAAGAAAAATACAACTATGCAACCAGTCAAAATACTCACGCAACAGCAGGGAGGGACACAGGAGGAGGCCCACGCACGGCACCACCACCGGGTGTTGCGGGGCCGCGCAACGGGTACGAGTCGAGCGGCATGAGTCCCGGCAAAGCAGTGAAGCTGGCATGACTGCGCGCAAACATAACCATAAAGTGGTGCTTGAAGGGCTCAATGTTGACGACGCCGAGTTGATCGTGCAAGAGTCGAGCGGCGCTTTCAAAGCTGCCAGCGGCGGCGTGGTCGGCCGCCAGGGAAGACGCCGCCGTCCACGCGTGGCTAATCGGGTTCCCGCGAGTCGGCGCCACGTAGAAACCCGCGTCTCCTTCGCCTCCAGCACTAGCGTCCTGTGTCGGGAGTAAACAAGACAAAATCAAGCATACCACGACAACTCCCCTCTCTGCGGATTCAATCTGAAGTTACTCAGAAACAAGGCAATAAAAGCCTCCCTACCGCAAATTTTCTGGAGGCCTTTTGGTTATGTTTTTTATTTACATATGGAAGAGAAGAGCAATACCAATTTAAATAATTCGGGCAATTAAACCCTCACCTTCAACTTCGGCATCCGGTCAACTCATTTAGAAATTATTTCAAGGCCGAGAATATCCGTTACTATTTCCTGTAATTATTCTTTCTTTCCTCAGAACAAAAATCCCCCTGCTTCCTCAACTCGAATTATTTTTTTTTGCTGGTCCGTCGAAGTTTGCATTGAAGAGGTTCGTTTTCTAACTTTCTCAGATATACGGTATGCGATTTTTGATTAATCAAAGGGGCTTCCAAGAAAACAATTGCAACCGACAAATCCTCCCAAAACCATAAATAAAAACCCTCGGTTGAATTCTGTGTCGAAAAATAATAATACATCATTCGAAGACAAACCTGGGCAATGGCCTGTTCCAATTCCGGCGGCAATTCCAAGTCCTCCTCGTCCCATCCGCCTTCTCCATCGCCGCCTTCATCGTCATCATCACCATCTCCGCCCTTCTTCCTCCTCACTTTCCCTTCCAATCCAATCGCATCCTCGTCGTCATCCAACAAAGCATTGTCTTCTTCGTCCCAGGCTCCACCGACCTCGCCCATGTCCTCGTCTTCGTGACCAGCAGACAAGTGCAACCCGACAACTTCCGGACGCTTGCCGACGCCTTCCGGGGCCGCTGCTGCGGCTCGCTCGAAGAAACCCTTGGACACGCTCAAAAGGGGCCAGTTGGATTCCGTTTGCGTGATGGGCACCGGGGGACGAAGGAACTTGGCGTTCGAACGAGGCTCGATTATCTGCGGTCATCACATAATTGATGAATCATAATTATCACACACAAGCCTTAAAGGGGCCAGTTGGATTCAGTTTGCGTGATCGGCACCGGGGGACGAACGAACTTGGCGTTCGAACGAGGCTCGATTATCTGCGGTCATCACATAATTGATGAATCATAATTATCACACACAAGCCTTCCCCAAAATCAGAATAGACACATGGCCGAAAGAAAATCGGGTTTCCTAGTTTCAATTTTCTCTTCTCAATTGCCTGAAGGGTACACAGAAATTATTTTATCCGACGAAGTTTTTCATTACACCAAGAAGTCACCTACGTTTGTAAAAGAGAACCCAACTTGTATTTTTTATTTCACGACCACAAGGAGCTTCAATAACAACAGTTTCGAAGGCAAAAAATTTAGGAGTAGACACATAACGTCAAATCGTGTAAAATTTGCTTGACGACGTTATTTTTATAAATGAGGTAGGATGCAAAACTTGTGTATGCTTCAAATATCTTTCAGTGTAATTCTGAACAGCGCTTCGAAATTGAGCTTTTCAAAACTAAATTTTCAGAGTTCAGATTCTCGTACCCACAGGCATACGTTATTAGTGAAAAAAATCTTGAAGAATTCGTTCCTTCGCAGAATTTTCAAAAACCGATGAGCCAGAGAATTCATCATATTCATGAGCCATGAAAGCGTGCAAAGTTAACTTTACTTTATAGCAGTGCATGGGTGCATCTAAGAATTTCTACCTCTTCCCCATTTCAGTCTGAGGGAAAAAAAGCCGGCACAATGACCAAGACATTACAGTATTAAATTTTCCCTAGTTAGAAGCATATCCATACAAGCAAGGGAAACACCAAAGACGAACCTCGAATTCGTGATTCCCTCATTTACACTACTGTATAGTGAAAAATTCCAAAACTCACATTTTCCTTTCCCTCTTCCTCTTCATCATCTTCAACGTTAGGTACTCAGAACCGTCAGTTTAGGCGGTTGCACAAAACAGGTGTGCGGAAGTTTTAGAAGTGGGAGAGTCCTTGCAGTGGTTCGTAGTTGCGGCACACTTTGACGCGTCTTCACAGGAAGGACATCTCCGCAATCTTCATCATCTTCCTCAACTTATCCAAATTGCCGGTGATTAAATACAAGAAGGCGAGTCGGTCGAAGTTCTTCGTCCTCTGGTAACACATTTCGACGACCTGGTGATTGCCTCGCATGAGCGCGGCTTCTCCGAGTCGGTCCCAACACGCTTTGTCGTCCAAAGCACGAGCAGCGTCCAAGGCGGCGTCAATGTTGCCGCATTCCAGAGCGAGTCCGAAACGGGTTCTTTCGTCTTTCACAAAGTGAAGGGCGACTTCGGGGAAGCCGCGTTTTTGCAGATAGGCAATGATGCTTTGACCCACGAGCTTCGAAGTGCGGACCATGTGGAGTACCTCGTCGTATCGCCGGTTGATGAGTGCGAGTTTGAACTTGTACTCGGTCGGGTTGATGGTCAAGGAAATTGGACGAGCATCTCGGTCCAGACAATACAGGGTGTTACCTGAAAAAAAAATAGATATTTTGAAAAATTAAAATAAAATTCAAGGACAGATTATTTCTTTCCAGGTCAACTGAAATTATATAATTCCAATAATCGCGCGTGTCACGATAAATAATGGATTCGCTATTGAAGAATTAAGCTTTTCTTTAATTTCATGGTTAAACACATGGTATTTAGTCCAAAAATTTCGAAGGATCTCGCTTTTCAAGGCATATCGTCGACTCACCTCGAACTTTCGTGATGTAAATGGGCACGTCCAAAGTTCTCACGATCCCCGAATCCCCAGAGGACATAATAGCGTATTTGATGTGATTCGCAGTAGTGTAAATAAAGACGCCAGAATCGTCCCAGGCTCCAGACTTGATCTTCGCCGTTTCCTGAATCGTGCAGAGGGGTTCCAGTTTTCTGGTGCACAGGGCCACTTGATGTCGTGACAAAAGCGCCACGTGGGCCATGTCCGATGACCAGACAACGTGTCGGCACTTCGCAAACTTGGTGTGAACCAAAGCACTGGAAAGGAAAAAATAAAAAAGGCAAAATACATGAAGTTTAAAAAAAACAAAAACTTGAGAAGTACTGTGCACAATTATAAGTTTCAAATGCACTTCATATCTGCTTCTAAAAATTCTGATACTGTGCTGCAATTACTTACAATTGCAACGTGAAAGTCACTGAATGAAGAATTTAATCGATGGGAAACTAAATATTCAGTTTATACATAACAAAAATTTCCAAATGGGATGGCATTTTTAAATCAGAAAATTTTTCGAAAGTCGCCCAAATATCGTCATCTGTGTGCTATGACGATCTTTACGTACGTCAAGGAATTTTAATAGAAAACAGCATTTACATCAAATTACAGGCACACAGGTTTAAAAAGAAAAGTTAATTACTGTATTCTAAAACTAACCGTTTTTGTTGGATATCGAATAAAGTCACAGTGTCGGCATCACGAAGCAGCAGAACTCCTGTCCCAGCATAGTAAATTTCTTCGCAATTCGGAATTTGCACTTTCTTCGTCACTTCGTTCTTGAGGTTCTTGATGACAAGCGAATGCGTCTTGTCAAAAACGGCGAAACGATTCCTCGCAACCCAAACCGCAGTCAATCCTACAACATAGAAACAACATTTTTTTTAGCGGGGCCCTGACAAACGGACGATTAAAACCTAGGGACATTTAAAACTAAAAAAACATGCTTCAAGATGAAGACACTGCGCCAAAATTTCTAGAAAGATGGAAAAAGGGCATTTTTCAAAATTTTGAGTTCGCTTGGAACAAATTAGGCTACAGTTCCTTATCACAACAGAAAACTGGAATGATAATCTCACCGGCAGAACGCTTGCTTTCAGGAGCATCAGGGCTATCATTGTCTGACGACGACGTTGTATCCGGATTCGGCACGGCAGCGTAAAAATCATACACGGAATTCTCCGAATTGGAAGTCCTGTTCACAACGAGCAAAGCATTTTCGGCAGGATTGTAAGATATTTGATGCACTGGCGTCCTGTAGCCGCCACGCAGTTGCATCACCGCAATGTCCTTACTCGACCCCAAGTCAAGCCGCCTCAGGAATCGCTCCTTGATGTAGTACACCAAATTGCCAACGACCGTGTGGGCAGGACGTTCTCTTTCCAACTTGAAGACGAGCATGCCTGAAATTGAAAATTGAAAGAATTAAGAAATAAGCTGAACTTTTCCTCACTTCAAAGCTTAACATTCGCTCTTGATCGATTCAGTAGATAAAATCTACTTCTTGCGGAAACTTCCCTAAAATCAAACAGAAGTTCTCTGCTGAAAGCCTCTGAAATTAGGACTTGAAACTTGATGACGCCCAAAATATTCATTTCGATGCCAAGTTTTATTTCTATTTTTTATACGGGCCCACTTTGCAGCTTTTCACCTTTTTCCGATTAATAAAAATGATGTTGTAAATTATTACATACATTTGGACTCTCTACAACGATTTTCTCTGTACGATATAACGATTTTTTGGACCCATAGATGTCATAGGAGTTCTCCAAAACGAAACTTTGTGCGACGATTTGTTCGGCTCCCTTGAATTTCATTGTATAGAGTCCACTTACACTTACTCTCGAAGATGTCGACAACAAACAAACTACTTTCTTCATGCAAAAAATGTCTTCTAGTAACACATTGCAGATCTATCAACATTATTTCAAAGCTAGCAGTTTCCGAACAACAACACCCTCTGCGAAATCGATCACTTTTCTGAGAATCGACGCACTGTATAACCGAATTTCATTTTGACTCAACTTCGTTTAAATTTCAAAGGTTTCTGCTAAGATTGAATTTTAGATCTTTCCCGAAGCCTCTGGTTTTGAAACGTCATCATGGCACCTGCGATTACCAACAATATCCAAATGTAAATACACTGTCAAAGTGAACTCCGTTTTAAAAAAAAAATGAAAAAAACCCTCACCGGCGTCATGTCCGGCAGCAAAAAGATTCAGCGTGGGATGAGCAGCAAGAACCCAGAACCGATCATGTTCTCTCCTAAACGTGTGTAAACACGTCCTCTTCGTCATGTCCCACACTCTGATACTCTTGTCCTCGCTGTTGGACAACATCATGTCCTGACGCGGATGAAACAAGGCGCAGGAAACGTTGTTGTAGTGTCCACGGCAAGTGTCCACTTCCCAGGCTTTGGACTCGCTCATCCGCCATAATTTAATTTGGCGATCGTCAGCACCGGAAACTACTAATGGCAGAGACGGATGAAACGCTGCCCAGTTGACGCCTCTGTCGTGCCCTTCGAGAACGTGCTTCACTACGGCATCCACCTTTTCAGGGGGTTAATCAAGATAATGCATTAATTATACAGCCAAAATTCAGCATGACTATTCCCAAACCTTCTACAGGATATTGAAAAATTACTTCAGTTACCTGGCCGAACAAATCCGTGGCACCAGGTGTCCTCAAATGATCCTCCAATCCACCGGGTCCAGGAGCAACATTCTTCTTTCGCAGCCCAGAAATGTCCCACACACGGACAGTTTGGTCCAAGGAAGCAGACACAACCAAGTCCTCACTCGGATGAAACTGGGCACACATCACGTAATGATTGTGCCCGGTCAGCACGCAGACGCAGTTCCGGGATTGCCAATTCCAAATCCGAATCGTTTGGTCATCGGACGCAGACAGGATCCAAGGGTATTCGTGATGGAAGAACGTGGTGCGAATGTAGTCCAAATGGCCGAGGAGGTTGAACAAGCATCGGTGTTGCTTGTAGTTCCATACCTGCAAAAGAGAAACAATAAAATAAATCTGTGTTTCAGCAAAAATGAATAAAGTTGACCAGAAAAAACACAAATACCGGGATTATAAAGGTAATTTGATGTACAGTATTTTGAAAGGAAGTGGAAGATTAATTGGGCGAATACACTCTATCTTCCAAGTTCAGCGTCCTGTCAATTAATTTAAAAAGCAATTTTACAATTTCCTGTAATTCTTTCTTTCCCCCAAAAATGCTCGTTTCGCCAACTCGATTATTTTTTGCTGGACTTCTAAATTTGAATAAAATATTTTTGACAGCGCAATACTTAGAACGTTTTCTCCCAACGATGAAGTTCACGGGTTTTTCTCATTCATTGCAAGTCTCGAACTCCCCATCACACAAAGATGCAATTTCACCGAATCAAATTTACTGTACACAGTTTGCCTCGACTAGATTAGGTTTGAGTTTAGAGGCTTGGAAACATTTCAGTACCTCAAATACACTAGATGACTAGAAAACTCATAAAAAGTTCCCATTTTTAGTTTTTTTTCGATTCCCGGATTCAAAATACGAGAATTTTTTTTTAGTCGATAAAGACTAGATTGAACATCGAACAAAATAATGAAGATATATTACACGTTGTTATTCTTCATTAAATTCGAATTTCAGAATTTTAATTTTTTCGAAAAAAAAAAAAATTAAGCCGACTAAAACATCAATCATGATATAGACAGACTTCACACAGTATTTAAAAAAACTCGCCTTGATTTTGTAGTCATCACCACCACTGACAAACAAGGGCTGTTTGTCATGGAAATGAATGCCTCTCACAGGGCCGTCATGCTCGTCGAATTTCTCCAACAGAGTGCACATTCTGTAGTCCCATAGCTGAATGACTCCCGTGTGCAACGACGCCAGAATCCATGGCCTCTTCGGGTGAAACGAAAGCCCCTTCACGCGAGCACTTTTATTCTCAAATTTTGTCAACATCGCGAAATTACACGACTCAAACAACGATTTCTAGTTCCTCTGCTCCCTCTGGACACTCCAGAGAGCGTCACTCAGACTGTTTTATCTAAAAACACATTGAAGGAAGCTACATTGTCCGAAAATATAATTGCACAAACAAAACACTTCGATTCCAAAATTCTGACCTGAATTGAATGAAAACGTACGAAAATGCAAAATAACAAGCTTCGTGAAACATTTTCTTCAAGAGGTATGCCAACGGGGCTCACCCTTTTCAAAATTAGATTATAGTTCATGGCAGAAGTCAATCCAAAAACTGAATAAGAAAAGTTGTCCGTTTTCAAGAATAACAAAATAAATGTAGTCAGAAAGCACGTACTAGCCAATGATTCGCGGAATATGATCTCAGCGGAATTTTTAAATAATTTAATTTATATGCCTTCGGCTTTTCTCTCAATACAACTTCCAACACATGATCCTCCGCTTGGATTATTAGTTTCCATTCTTTAAGTCAGGTTTCCAACCAGAGTCCATCACAGAGGTTGCAAATGTTGGTTCGCAACCAAGCATTTGAAGGTCCAGCATAAGCTAGACACCTATCACATCTTCGCAGCGGGAATTCCGTGCAAATTTCCATAGTCAAAGCCGATCGCGGCAACTTATGACCACGTTCGCAAATTCCCAGACAAACATTATACATTCCGTTGCACAAATCCGGTACTTTAGCGTCGCAAACCGGACAAAACTCGCACTCAGGAAGAACTTCCTTAGGAATTTTTGAATATAAAGATTTGGTAAGAGCCAGGAAGTCCGCGTTGTCTTTCCCGCACAAAATGCCCAACCACTTGAGAATTCGGGGGATTTTCGACCGAGCTTCGGCTAATTCTTCTTTACTCAAGGACGTACTTGAAAATTTCTTGAGCAGTTCCATTGAAGCCAGACGAAAAACTAATCCATCGTACTTCACTCGTTCTTGGATGCCTCCTGTCTCTCTGGAAATGAACACAAAATATTTGGAAATTAGCTATCATTCATCCCTGTCAACAATGCCATTTTTTTGCACTTTCTTATCTATCATACGCGAAAGAATTTCAGAATCATCACCGAGATGATAGTGACAAAGATTCTTCAGCGAATTTTCTAGATTCCATAGGCTGAAAGACTAAGCCATGTGGTCCTCCAAAAGAAAGATATCGATTCCAGAAAAATTAATCGGCACTTCACCACAGAGATACTCACGTGCATTCGGAAAGCATAATCCATCGGTATATTTTCGCATGCCGCAAGTTGTTCTCAAAATCCAAAACATCCAGATCCACTTTCCCTCCGTCGGCAACTGCTAATCTTAAAGCTTCCAAAACGTCACCCATAGCTTCCAGGGAATCATTTTCCCCTTCCAGCAAAATATCCATCAACTGCTTGGCATCCGTGTTACTCAGAAAGACGATCCTCGTCACGTCACGCATCTTCAGATGATCATAAGGAACACGCAAACACTGCACAGCACACAGAATCGCAGACGTACGCGAAACCCCGACTCCAGTGACAGCGTGCAACGAAGAATCCTCTCCCAAATCAATTTCAGTTTGTTGAAGTCGTTGGCGATTGCCTCGGATGACTTGCATAGAAGCAACTCTTCCATCATCAGAGCACATGATCGTATTGTCTCCGGTAGTGAGGCTTAAAACAGGGGAAGATCCAGAACTGATCTTAGATGCACTTATTATCTTTGCACTCCTCGCAACCAAGCTCATTTCCACTGTGATGCAAATCACGAACTGGTTTTTTGAAAACACAAGCTCACAGACCGACGGTGAAATGCTCCGCGCAACTAGATTGCAGGATGCAAATCCGGGTAAAGGTTCCAGAAAAGCATGATCCCAATTCAGCACCTCTGACTTCTCTAGACTGTCTTTGATGAGCCAAATGACTTCCAATCCTCCGCTTTTTGTTCCGATGAAAATGACACTCCCTTCCGATGAAACATCGAGACAAGATATGGATTCGATTCCATCGGAGATCCACTTATGGCTTATAACTTCGGCCCCACCGGTCACGAATAATTTGAACGCGCAAATGTGGCCACTACGAAACCCCGCAATCAGAACAGCGTAACTAGATTTTCCGAAGACCACAGACGGAAGCCAAGCAACCGTCACAACATGCGAACTATGCGCCTTGAGTAATTGCGCAGTAACTTCTGGACGGGTTGAAAAGGATGACAATCCACCACAGGCGTACAACGCGCTAGTTATTGTGAAGACGTCCTGCCAATCGGAGGACATAATTCGAGCGTTGAGAAGTTCGGGAAGGTTGAACGGCATCGGTCGGTATTCACCCGTCACGTGAAGATATTCGTATATCAGGCAGCGCCCATCAACCAAGACTGTGGCGAGCCAACATTCCTTACGGACGGTATCAATTAAGGGAGACCAACAGGCCTCACAAAAAGACCTACAAAAGAGAAACGTTACCAACTGACACTTCTCCGATGAAAGAAAACTTACATGAGCTCATTGGTGGCTAAACTTGGGGTAACATCGCGGTCCAGGGAAAGCGTGGTTGAGACGAACGGAGGATCATCTTCGGAGATTTTGCGAATTTCATCTTGATCACGTAGGGGAACTGGTATGAAACTTTCTTCGCAGCGAATGCGGAAAGCCTTCCCGAGAAACGGCCGATAAAGTGGTCGAACAATTTTAATTCCCGCAGATGTGGCAATGGCGATTTTATCCTGCTCACCCCATGACAAACTCCGGCGCGGAATTGAGATCGATTGTATTGGAACAACGCATACCGGCTTCATCTGGATTCAATCTACGAAACAATACAACATTCACGTATGACCACCAAAGCGACTGCATCTAGCCGACGTTAATCATCACATGCACGACAACCTGACGCCCTATTTCGGCACAACTCGCCCTCAGAGCCACCACTCCAGGCTTTCTTTCCCATTACACTAGTGGCTTTCAGTGACTTTTTTCAACTGCAGTCTGCAATGATCTAGCGGCATAGATTCCATGAAGATGTTTAGGGCAAGATAGAAGGCAAATTTTATAGAGACAGATTTTTCTTACGAATAGTAAAGATTACGTTTTTTCAGGCTTCAAATAAATAGTACACTGCCTGCCCACAAAACTTTTCGCATGAAACTTCTTCTCAAAAACATGCGCAATTCATGAAGTTACTCATTTGTGGCGTTGGAAGAGAGCGGCATGCTTTAAAAGCTGTGCTGGAATGTCCAGGGACCCAGCTTCAATTTCGACACTACGCAGACATTTGTGATTACTGCTTAGCACCACGTGTCCAAGAATTGATCAAGAACGTTCCTGTGAAGCATTGGCAGTTGATGCTGACAATTACAATACTGTACACTACTATGCAGCACTATACTGTACTGCACACTTACAGTATTCCTTAATATATTCCATCAACTACATTACGAAAGAGGCAACTAACTGCAGTTAGGGCACTTGGGATTAATAACCTTTTTTCATTGATTAGGCCATGAAATTGCTTTCCATGATCAAGTTTCATGAAATAGGCAACATTTCATAACTTGAAAACTCCTGAAGTCATATTTCATAAAATTCCCTTTCGATTTGGCATGGAGGCTTCGTTGTCTACATTTTATAAGTCACATCGGCTTCTACATAAACTGAAGGGCTTCTATAAACAACTGTGGCGTGAAAAACTGAACTGATAATTAAGCCAACAGAATATGTCATTGCCAGTCAGCAAGCAATAGGGCAGGGTAAAAGAATGCAAAAAAACCCTTTGAAAGGTCTAAAACATCAGCCAATCGGTATGAAAACAAATGAAAGCATCCTGCACAGAAATTGTAGCACATGAAATCTGCTAGAAAAGTTGCTTTGAAAATTATTTTTCCGAACAATTCAACTCCAGAAGGAGTGCTGCAGGGCAACTGTAATACTGTACATGAATTCTGCTGAAAAAGTAATTGAAAGCAGGCTATTGACGCTCATTTCTCTTGCAATTTTTGCTGCGGATTGCAAATACAGTACTGTACTACCTTTTAGAGTTTGTATAGTGCCTGGGCTTTTGTTGAGGCATGCCACAGGACATATACTCTGGAGTCTGGAGTGTGCTCTGCCTCCTGCACCTGATGGTGACCTTTGCAGGTCAAATACATAAAGTCTGTTAAAATAGTCGTTGAAAACACGCTATTGATGAAAATTTCCATCTAAAAAAGTCTGGATTGCAGTTTTTGTAACATTGCATCCATGGGGGTTTCAATAATCAAATTGAATCCAAACATCCGGAAAAATTTCCCATTGAAAACTGGTTTTCCATTTGATTTTCAATTTCAGAAGTGTGTATTGTTGATTTTGAACATATAGTTTTCAAGGGGGTATGGGGGAAAACTTTTGGCTCCAGTTTCGATCTCCTTTTTGCCCAAAAAGCCCAGCCCAGCTGCAATAAAGTTGGATTTGACCCCTGGGTCGCTACCTGGGTCACAAGGAAGAAGTAATTTGATAATTAATGCGCCCATTAATTATCAAAAAAAGGAAGAGAATAGTACCACAAAACACGGGTTTCAATACAATTCATACAACCATGTCATGCATTTCATCCCGTGGTTATTTTCCTTTCCCGCGTTGAAATTGTTGAAAAAGAGATTAAAAGCTTGAACATATTCATTGGCTAAACTGCAATACAATCTCATGTGTATCAGGTCCATCAGGGTGCATCCAATTTATTTTCATGTTTAGTAATACAGTATTTTTGTCTCACTCTATTTAGTAAATACTGTAATACTGTACTATGGTTTCACTCCAACTTGCTTGACTATTTTTTTTATGTTGAGAGTTCATGGAATAAAAATGCTGTCCTGGGAAATCAAACATGCTAGAGAAGACAGCTGAGGGATGAAAGAAGAAAGATTGGGGAAGGAGAAAAGATCTGCTTTCTCCTTTTTTAATGGTGCCTCAGGTCAAAGGTTTATGCTATTCTTATAATTTTTTATTTTTTTTTCGTGACGGGCGGGCGGTCAAAGGATAGCTAAATCCAGCACCCACCACTTGGACGGCCAAAAAATCCTTTGACCAGCGGCACCATTAAGGAAGGGCCGGAGATCCTACAAGGGTTCTAACAAAAGTTCTCAGAGTAGCAATGAAAATGGCTCAAAATCGAGCTGAAAAAACTTTATTCTTTAGGGAGAACATATTCTTTGGCACACAAAAAAATATCAGCCCTGTTTGACAACTTTTTTCGAATTTTTTTCATAATTCACCCTGGCAGAGCACAGCAATAATTTGGAGGCATGTATTTAAATTCTTTGATTTAAACTCTTACAAAACTGTGGTTTCACTCCAACATATTATTTCCTCCTAGATGTTTCATGGACTGAAAATACTGTCCCAGAAATTAGAACATGCTGAGGAAAGAATTTTTGAAATCAACTTGGCATTCTTTCCAAGGGTTTTTTTTTTTTCATTGCTACTCCGAGAACTTTTGTTAGAACCCTTGTATTTCCTTCTCCAATCCTTCTTCTTTCATCTCAAAGTCCTGTTCCTCAGCATGTTCTAATTTCTGGGACAGTATTTTCAGTCCATGAAACATCTAGGAGGAAATAATATGTTGGAGTGAAACCACAGTTTTGTAAGAGTTTAAATCAAAGAATTTAAATACATGCCTCCCAATTATATCTGTGCTCTGTATTTTTCAGGGGTGTCCAGTATGGTTTCCTACCAGCTTATTTTTGTTTGTGATCAGTTATTGAAGGATTAAGCTGGGTGGACATTCAACAAAATCATTCAAAAAGAGAGAAATGCCCAAGAACTTTTCTTACATCAATTTTATGGTTGAAAATATTTGTTTCTTATAATTTGGCCTGAAATGTATTTGCAATTTTATCACAGAATGTCCCTGTGTTGAGTCAGTGTCCTCATGTTGGGCCTCTTTTATTAATTTTTTACAGGAAAATAAGTGTTCTTATGCTGAATTATCTGCAGGTCAAGATGTCCGCATGTGGGGGTCTCACTTACAGAATTAATGCAACAAATACAATTTCTCCCTAGATGTACTCATGAAGAACTATGTGTTTTGATAATGGAAACTATTATTTCTTTACCTTCTAGAAATGATGAAGAAATTTGTTGCAATGATGACGAGTTGATAAAAAAAATTCTTTTTGTGATGGGGTTTTATTAGTTAATCGAAGAAAAATCCTTTTTTGGTGGACTGACTTGAGTCCCAGCAAGAAATCTATACCAAGGATGCCGGAGTTGTCACTTGGACTTTTTTTTTTTCCATCCGCGGCATGTTCTCCTTTGTCACCCAAGGGGCCGAACCCTTTTCTATTGCAGGGCTTGGGATTTCCTGGGCAGAAGAAAGATTGGAGAAGGAGATAAGATCTGCGGCCCTTCCTTAATGGAGCTGCAGGTCCAAGTCCCAGAGGTAGATAAATCCAGTGCCCACCACTTTGACCCCCCGCGTTTATTTATTCATTTACTGTATTCTTTTTGTGGGGGCGGTCCAATAAGTGGTGGGTGCTGGAACCTTTCTGGGCAAGAAGTAGGTGGGGATTGGAGCCCACATTCGTTCAGCAAGGTGGCGCTCAAATTTAACTGCAAGTCAGTTTTCAATTCTTGCAATCACTTGTGTAATGATCAAAATAAGGAGTCTTTGTTTAAAAAAAAACCCTGGCTCACAAACTTCTTGGTGAACAAAATTTGGGTTTGGGCCTCAGCTGCCTTGGCTAACAAAACCTGACTTGGGTTACAAACTTTGGTTAGCTTCTATGTGAATGGGTAAAAAAAAGGAAGCCTGTGATTTCCTGCCCAACACAATTTATTTTATTGATGCAATGATCAGAAATGTTTCACTCTAGATTTCTGCATTACACAGGAAAGGATAAACTTTCAATTCTAAAACTTCTCACTTGTTTGGAAGTCTTTCATGCAAGCCAGAAAATAGGACCATATAAAATATGAAGATGAACTCCAAGTCTGATTTTCAAAATTAAAATTTTCTGGCGCAGTTCTTTTTCAGCCAGTGATCAAACAAACATCCCCCACAAACAGACACAAACTAAAATTCTCATTTTTAAAAATGTCCAAATTCTCCCAGATGCCCAAGAGTGGGACAACTGTCAAATCTTTCAAAATTTAAAAAAAATGTCAAAGGGTTGTTTTCTGTCAGTGAATTTCTGTTATACTATAGCAAGAACATTTCTCCCATTCTAGGCCCATTTTTTAAAGACAAAATTTATCATCTTCCATGGGCACTTTCAATGTTTTGGAACAAATTAAAATTTTTTTCTTAAGGGAAAACTTGATTTGGTTCACAAAACTATTTAATCAACAAACCTTGCTCAGGAATGGATCAAGTTTGTGAACCAAGGACCCGCTTATACCATCAGTTGAAACCACATCAAAAAGAGGGAACCCATCACAGTATACAGAGGGGGGCAAGGAAAGGGGCATGTGCCCCCAGATTGGGTGAGACACCCTCCCTGAACCCGTCCAGCACACAGCAAGAAAAGAGGGAATGAGATACTGAGCATCGAACCCTGTGTCAGTTCATCCCTGGAGCTCGGAGCTCATGGAACAAATTTCCTTTCTTCACATCACAAATATTTGTACTCTTGAAGAAATTTCGAAAATTCACATTGATTTTCAGTGATCAGTATTTACAGAGTGCTAAAAAAATTGAAGAGCAGACAAAACCACAAGGAATAAAATAACATTCAATAGACATTTGTGAACATTTCCTCGCAAAAACGTCAAATTATTACCATACTGATGTACCTCATTTGATTTTTTGCACAGGCAACAACAGTGTGAATGTCCCCTTTTCGCAACTTCCCTCCATTTTATGCTGAAAGATGACACTGCATTAAAAGTGGATTAAAGAATCAAACCCTTTCTTGAGTGATTGTGAATTGGTCTTTGTGTTAATGAAACTATAAGCTCAGTATATTAAAATTTGTACAGCATTTATATTGAGACA